TCTATCTTATACTTATTTTATACATGTTCTGTGAAATGTATTGGTATTGTGAGATCAATAAATCTCATCTTATCTTATCTCATGTTATCTCATCTCCTCTCATCTCGTCCTGTCTTGTCTCAACTTGTCTTAAAACAATCAAACTCCTAACAAGTGTGTCTTTTGTAGATGTTTGAAAAGGCCCTGGCCACAAATCAAAGGCTCAAATCCAAGTTGGAAACAAGTAAACAGGAACTCGTCATGATTCAGGACCAGCTGCAGAGAGCTCAGGTACTGAATATATCTACTGCTGTCAACAGTTAATGTGGCCCTTTTAGATTTATGTGTGTGGGAAGAGCTTAAGGGAAAGTTTGCTGAAGCGAGATTACTGAGAACGTAATTTTCTGTGAGTCATAAATTAAGTCATCAGTGATTAAAGAAATATCTTCCACGTGTTCTCACAAGAAATCAGATAATAATGGAAACTGAATGAAAGAAATCAGTTACACAATGAAGCTGCAGTGTTATAACTGTCAGGACTGAGTTTGGGAATAATTCCCCCACTCATAATAGGTCCTCTGTGTGTGACTGTAGATATATTGGATATTTTATATCAGACACATGTGCAATTTAAAATGACACATTAGCTTTAACATGTCGTTCTATAATGTTTCTTATAATCATTTTTCATTGCTGCAGAAGGGAAGAGCAGGAGATTGTGGCTCCACTGTGCTCGAGGCAGAGAAGAAGGTATGAACTCAGCATTATACCAAAACTCTTCTGGTGTAGTCTCAGCAAAATGTTGTCAGTTTTTCCATATCTTCATTTATTCATCTGAATCGTCTTTATTAAATGTTGTTCTTCATAGGAAAGCTGGAGTCTTAAAAAGAAAATAACAGATATGGAAGAACAGTTGAAGGTAAAGCAATGTTTTCAGAATTAATCATTTTTACAGTTTCACTTTCATTCAAAAATAGTAGCAATTAAGAATGTAGTATGACTTTTTCATCCGAGAGAAAGTGAGTCTGGTTGGTAATTAAAGAAACCGCAAACAATCAAATCATTGTCTGTGGGACTTGGTGCCAGGGTGTTAGCAGCTCGGTCTACAGTTGTTTTCAATTGTCAACATTATGCCCTGTTGGCTGTGGTATGTGTGAGCACTGTGACTCGGTGGCGAGCGAGTCATCAGTATTCATCTGCAGTGTTCACAAATGTCTGCTGTGTCATGCCCAAGACGATGCAAACAAAAACCTCTTGTTATCTGCGATGAGAGCTTTAAACAAACATGGTCTGGAAATTGGACGTTGACAACAGAGAAGCACTGTGATGTTGCACTCTGTATTCAAATCAGCAACTGTGCTCCAATGGTGGCTGTGAAGTCGAGTGTACAAGATGTGTGTGTTGTTTATTTGATTTATTTATTATGATAAAATGCTCAGATTAAGCTGGAGCAGATGATGATTTGGATGAGGCCTCAAAACCCTTAAAAAGTTTAAATTATTTCATTTTGAATTAATAAACATTTTGCAAATCTAGGTTTTAAAGAATTCCACTTTCCCCTTTCGTCAAGAAATTTGAGTGTATCTTTATACGATGAATATCATGAAGATTTCGGAATGTGGTGTTCTGCTAAGTTAGTGTTTGAAGTAACTGCTGATGACTGTACATAAAGATGGACAACGTGAGAGCTCCCCAAAAGTGAAGCCAAAACATTGTGATCGCCACCTGCTGGCTGGCTGTAGAACAGGTCATAAACCTTGCCTCCTCTAAGTTTGCGGATGGGGCATTGGCCAAATTAGAAAGTGAAAGTACACATCAAATAAATGTTTTCGAACTATGGTTTCTGTCATTTATGGCAGTTCTCATCACACTGATGTGTGTTCAACAGTTTATTTTTCCACTAAGTCTGATTTTAATTAGTAGCCGATCGCTACTTTGCAGACTCCAAATGATGTCACCAGCACAAGATGGCTGTACCCGTACAGGAGATATTTTGGCTTCATTTTTGTACAAATGGATGAATTATGCACACATTTACCATACCGTCCATACACAAAACACAAGACATGTTCCAAACAGTTGGCCTTCCAGGTTATGACAAAAATATAATTTTACTCTGTGTCCACTTTAGTTGTCTCATGCTCTTCTCTGCAGGTTAAAGCAGAGCTTAAGATGGAGAACCAGAGACTGAAGGATGAAAATGGAGCTTTAATCCGTGTCATCACCAAACTGTCCAAGTGAGACAAGGAGAAGGAGGAGGAAAAGAAGAGGACACCAGAAGCTATATTTAAATGTTTATCAATAAGGAGTATCCCCAGGAAGAATGATTGTCATTTTGTAAATGTTAGTCCATTCTTCACAAGTGTACTGTATTTAAAAAAGTTAGACTGCCTGAAGGAAAATACATTAAAATACATTTTATACTGTATATTCTTTAAATATTTCTACATAAAGACAAATGTAGCATGACCACGTCTTTTGGTTTTTGTCTTTTACTCCTCTGTGTTTACAGGAACGAATTACCCACAGGAAAACCAGAGATAAATCTGTACAGTCCTATCAAGAATATCCCTGCATACTTAAAAAGACAAAATACTGCAGGTATGCCCATGTAGGTATTGCCATGGAAACTGCAATATTCGGTCCGCTCCATATGCAGACCTAAAAACTGAGCTCAATGCTATCAGGTGCAGCGAATGATGGATGAGCTGTGGTTCTCAGAAACATGGGAGCGTCATTTCTGATTTAGCAGCTTTACCTTGGAATGGAAAACAATCAGTTAAACAAAATGAAGAATGGTAGAACAGGAAAATACGCCTTGTGTTTTACCCACTGTGAGCACTAAGGCTAAATCTGACTAACATGTAAAATATTCATCTGTTATGAACTCTCCATCATTGTTGTGACTTTTTGATTGAAACAATCTCACCTTAAAGGGATAGTTCACCGAAATATGAAAATGTCCTCATTATCTACTCACCATTATGCCGATGGAGGGGTGGGTGAAGTGTTTGAGTCCACAGCACACTTTAGGAGTCTCAGAGGTCAACAGTGTCGCAGCCAAATCCAATACAATTGAAGTATCTGGTGAAAGATTCTTCAGACGTAAAATTTCAACAGAAAAAAATGTAAATTAAGCTGTTTCAAGTAGAAGTAAGTAGATAATGAGTAAATTTTCTTTTTTCTGGGATCTGTCCCTTTAAGGGCAATTTCGTATCTGCTCTGGAGCTTTCAAACACATCACATGATCTTAAACACTGTAGATGGAGGGGGTGAGATTGTTCTGCTGTTTTCCAAGAGTTTGAAGCTCAACTTCTAAGGTTAAACCAGCATCAATAAAAACGTAACTAGAGGAAATTTGAATATCCTTATTTCCATGACAACCGAGGAAACATCAGCTGACGGGGATCCAAGAATAAAAGTCTTAAATCTAAACTTAATATTTTTGACAAACGTGCAGGTTGATTTTGTTTCATGAAATTTATGTGGAAACTCTGAAAATGATCATGGGATGTCTGCCGGATTTATGTCTATATATAATTTGGATTATTTAAAGTTAGCCTAATATTGTGTGTATATATATATATATATACACATTTTTCATGTTTTATATATATATATATATATAAAACACTCCCTGAACTCCCTAAAATTTGCCTCAACTGTGTTTGTATGACATTTTTTGGAGACACACCTATTTAAATACATATAACTCTCAACAAAACTTCAGTTCAACATCTGAGCTCCTCTCGCTGCAGATGTGCTGTTTTACTTTGTCATCCTCCTCGTGTGGTCACATTTGCTGTGTATGATGCCACCAACTGACCATAAGTGGAAAAGCAGCCTCTGATTCCATTTACACACCACACAGGACAAGGCTACTTAAAATGCCTTTATTTCCTATGATTACATTTTTTACAACACAGATGAGCCCTGACCCCTTCCCATGTTTTGGTTCCCTTCAGTTCTACAGAGTGATATATGAGTACAGTTTTTTTTTTGTCGTTTTGTTTCCACCTTTTGCTGGAAAACATGGATTTTATATGGAAATAAATCATGCAGTTCACAAAAATGGTACAACTACTGACACACGTCTACATCAAGACAAAACGAGAGTTGAGAGTCTGTTACTCAGTAAGTGAGTGAGTGATGACAGTCGTCTCTTTGGATGTTCTGCATCATGGCTACTGTACGTTCAGAGGATATTCACTAAAGAGGAAGCAGCAGGTCGGCAGTATTGCATTGCGAATGTGGTTCTGCACTGAATGGGTCGGCTCGGTGCTCAAGAGAGCATGTGAGACCGGGAAGACTGGGATTTTGTTGCCTGCATTGCAGAAAATGGATAAACTCATACAATTCCATCACTAAATCCCAAACAGTTACACCGAACCAACAAATACAAGTTCAAGTGGTCTTATTGCAAATACACAAAATACACAAAATGGAGATTATAGATTATGTGTAGATAGACTGGATGAGAGTGAGTATATTGAATGATTCTGAGAAAAGGTTTACACATGCTATATAAAGTTATGGATAAACTTAAATGTGAAAATGATATTCAAAATGAAAATGTGTTTATTCCTCCTCCAAACTTCATGGATGCATAATAACTTCTACTCTAAGAGATGGACTGTCATGGAGACTGTGATTATTCATCTTCATGGATGGACGGAGAAAACAAATCCCCACATTAGAGATGCCGTGATAGATACAGCATTCATATCTCACAGAGCATGCACGGGTGACACCACACCCCTGCACTCTATTAGCTAAACTGTGTGTTCACTCATACAGTGGCACTGGTAATGAAAAGATTATTGATTGCTTAATTACCAGACTGGAGCTACTTGAGAGAGCTACATCAATAATATCCAGTGATGATATTTCACACAAATTGATAAAAAATATTGCGTAATAAAGTTTTAAAAAAAAGGATTTGGTTCATTTTAGAAGCAAATTACTGATTTCACTCACTTCTAATGTATGATCAGACAGGTGAGAGCAGGTTTATTCGAATGGCAACATAATGAAAAGGTACAATTTAATAAAGTGTGAATAAAAGGAAAAATGGGCCACAAGTCAGTTACTGTATCTACATTTGATGAACTAAGACTTGACACTCATCTGGCAGGAGTAAATGAAGGAAACACTTACGGTACACTGAGATAGAAAATCAAGGAGCCAGCAAATATTCTCCTCTTTTTTTCAAATCTATACAGTTTGCTGGTCAGCGGCCGAGACAGACTATATAACAAGTGCAAGCAGAAATGAACAACAATTACATGACCTGTAGCCCGAGCACACGGATACACTGGGTTTAGCACAGAGGACACATACAAGCAATGACAGGAAATAAGACACTCGTGCAGTTTTATGAGAAAACGAAATAGATCTTCACATATGACACGTAAAGCAACCCTGCTATAACTCCAGGCTTTAAAGGAGCCCGATAACCGTATAACATGAATAATCCAGACATGTACATTCAGTCCCATTTAGCAAAAATACATACACTTTGCAGTCAGTGCATACAGGTTTTTTTTACTCTGTTTTATTATCAAAAATGACATAGAACACAAACACACATACACAATATAATAATGGTTCCTCTTTAAAACATGCTGCTATTTACATCATCTTGTAAATTCATGCTGTAGCCTATTCACAAATCTGCAGCGATGCATGGTGTTGATAATAATATAGCAGAAGTACTGTGGGTGGACCGGTCAGTGTGCTGCTGTTTCCTTTCTGTCACTTTTGTTTCTGGTGATGACACGGAGGCAAAGACAGAAGCTGAACACCTCATTTTGATTTTCATTCGCACACATTCAAGGAGAAAAACTGGAACAACATAAGCCAGCTTCACTTGGACTCAACGAAAAAATGTATGTTTTTGACTTTAGGGAATTTCTTCACGTCATTTGATCAGTTGTCACTTGTGACTGGTTAGTGGAGGCATACTACTGCAGGGTGGTGATTGTAGTTCTTTGATTTAAAACAAAATCATACACTTATATTCATTTAGATACATTTTGGTTTCTAAATGAACTTGGTATTATTTTTTTAATCCAGGAGTGACAATTTAATCAACTTGAATATAGTTGTTTAGTTTTGAGGTTTTTTCTTTAATAATAAATTGAAATTTACTCCAGATCAACTTTTTTGGAAATGTGTAACTCCAAATAACTTTGAATAATTTTATTGTTTTTATTTTTTTTATTGAAACCAGGTGTTCAGTTGCTCTAAAGACTTTTTGCCTCCATGCATCTGCACGTCACACTAACATAGTAAGTCTTTGATAAAGTGAGTGTAGCACTTTGGCTCCAGGTTTATAAAGCTTGTGTCTGATGAATGGGATTTAAACGACTACTGTGAAGTGGGAGACATGCTCGATTCTGCAGCTCTATTTGGTTCAAGCGAATGGTCCTGCACATGTTTATTGTTTATTATGTTCGATGCTGCACTTTGCCGTGTTGAGATTTGCTTTGCAGTTGAATTCCCGTTCTCTTAAAAAGTGCAGTCACAGCTTACGCTTCACACTCAGTTCACTATAAAAACATCTGGAAATGCTCACTTAGGTTCATCACAAATTATTTACGTACTGAGGTGGGAGCGACAGAGCGTTCGTGTCAACTACAACATCCTTCACAGAGAGTTGAACGGATGTCAAAATAAAAAGCGTGAGGTGTTTTTCAAAAGCATCAGCAGAATTCAGAAGCATAGTCACAACTGTTTTGAACTTCATGGGTAATCCTCCTAGTGTCCTGACTTTCCCTGCGTGTAAGTGCGGTTTTACATCCAAGTGGTCAACGCAGCTCAAGACACATTTCTGATGGCACATTCACAGTGTCCCTGACGACCTTTGAACAATATTCACTCTGTAAAAAGTTCCGCCCTTCTCCACTAAACGCCGCATTTCTCAGAGTGTCACATATCAGGAAAGGCACCCTTGTATTCCTGTCCTACATTACATCTGTCTGAAGACACAGAGACGTGTGTCGGACCTAAATGCATAGACGATGCCTCCATGGCGACACAAACGAGTGACAGAGATCAAAACACTGCGGCGTCCCGGCCACACTGTACGCTACTCTACCGTGTGTATCGAATTCACAGTAAAATAAATCACAGCTTTCTTTTTAAAACATGTTGCAACAGGGATCGATGCATTCAATGACTTCATTCATTCTCAATTAACTCTTCTTGTATTACTTAAACACACTCTGTGCGGAAGATAGCCCAATACTACAGTACTTACTATTGCAAGTTATAGCACACTTATAAGCAGGATACAATACTGGGTGTGGTGTATGCAGAGCAGTGGGGGGTGGGGCGGGTAAAGCATGCTCAACTAAACTAAAGCTTTATTTCCAGTATTGTCTTCACAGAGACTTTTATTCAGTGTCAGCACCCTAAGAATCAGTTTCTAAGTTTCTTCGATCGTTCAGGAGCCAGTCCCCCCATAATTCAACGGCACTCTTCTCAGCTAAGGTGTGAGATGTGATGATTCATTTAAAAACTGTTTTATTTTTCCGACTTAACCATAAATGAGCGGGGTATTCTACGACGTCTCTTTTTTGCTGAGCAGTTTTCCTGACCGTGTGTTAAGTCATGGGTTTCATGCAAAATAGGGGCGGGGGTTGGATTTCTGAGTTAGTGCATTAGCTGGTCGGTGGAGCACGTTACTTCTTGGCGGCCAGAGATGCCAGCTGGCCATCGATATCCTCCTCAGGTTGCAATGGATGCCACTGGGCGATGGGACGGCGGGGATTGGCCAGCATGTCAGACCAGTGCTTCAGCCCTAAACCGGTCGCCTTGCTGCCCACGAAGATCTTTCCAATGGCGTCGTTCTTACCGATCTTGTCATAATCAAACACCGTGACCGCCACCAAGATTTTCTGAGTAGGACAAGAGAGAGAATCTGTGATTTCTCTGTTTTTGAGTCGTCACATTATTAAAATATGAGCACAGATTGATAGAAAAGATATTTCTGAAGAGAGAGAATCAGCTGTATTTTGTTACATATCAGTGAAATCCAAAAGATCAGATTTGACTTGTACTGTACCTGCATCTGTTCTAGGGGGATTTCAAAGCTGAAGGATTCATTATAATATGGGTTCAAGGTGTTCTTCTTCACCGTGGTCTTCTTCTTCTTCAGACGCTTACCCCCCTGAAGCAGCTGGATCTTCACATAAGGATCTGCAAAGGGCATCAACATGATCAACAACAGAGACCATCAAGGCAAGATTTGAAAATCTTCTTTGACTTCATTACTTACTAGTGCAGCACCAGTTCTAAACATGCACGTTGCTATGAACACACCCGTGATCAACAAGGTCCCAGCCGCTGCTATCGATTGCTAGACGCGTGCTTATGATTTGATCTAATATTTTACTTATTGCATGAGTTAAAGAGGACCTGACTTCTAAAAGGGATAAAGTTAAAGATCACACATTCTTTAATATTTCAAGTATTCAATCATTTAATGTTTAAAATTTGAAGTTAAGGCAGCCTGCGTAGTCAGTACTTACTATTTATCTAAATCCATTCTTCCCTCTAACAGTGAAGTGTTCTCATGGCCACTGGCTGGAACAGAAACCCAAAGCTTGATCGATCGACCTCAGCAATTGTAATTCTACACCCTTTTTTTTTTTTTACTCACATGCCTTTGCTCATTGTAGCTGAAAATTTATATTTCAGCTGAATCATTCTGTTGGACTTATTTCTAAAATCCATCAGGCTTGTTAAGACGTTGCAAACCTCTGATGATGAATAAAGAGTTTTCCTCTGTGAAGATCATTTTCAGGAGATGTAACTGTGCAGTGGAACAGGGCCTCTTGTTCAACTCTACTGCTTTAGAGAAACAAAAACTGAAGACTAAACTCCTCTCACTAGCATAATGTAAATTCTGTTCACGGCATCTGCAGTGAATGTGACATTTCTCTACCAGATAATCCGCAGGCGTCCATCTTCTTTAGATTCTTTGCCTCCAGGATACAGACGGTGAGTTTTCCAGCGGTGGGGACATAACGGAGGGAGATGCAGATGTCTCCGAGTTTCTCAGGCTGAGCGGAGAGAAGAGACAGAAATGACAAGCACGTGTTCATCAGACAGTAAAAACAGACTTCTCGTTTTATCATGGTCTGCTGTATCTTAAATTCAACTTGTAGATTATACTTGTAGGATCAGAAAGACGATATCAGTAAGAAACAGAACATGTATCTTACAGAAAGGTCGATCAATCAACTCAATTATCGAAAACTATGCTCCATATATAAACTAGGCTCCATATATTTTTCTTGTCAACAAATCCCATGAAAAGACTTAATCCGACAATGTGTACGTGTATTTGTTCTGGTCACGTTGGTCTTTTCTTAGGATTTGTTGACAGAGACCCAAAGCTCATTTTCAGTCAGTGTGGTTCTTCACAGCACCTCCTCCTGGTCGGCGCTCTCCAGATCCTTCCACTCCTCGATCGGCCGTCCGAGGTCGATGGTGTTCATGGGAATCTTCACCTCCCCAATGACGTCATGTTTGGAGAATCGGTCGTAGTCGTAAACAGACATCACCAGTGTCTTCCCACCAAGTTCCTCGTAGGGCACCTGATCAACAAATAAAGATTTATAGACTGTTTCAGACCTTGATGCCTTATTTTTTCAATGAATGATTTGAAGTTTTTAAAAATATTTCAAATGCATTTTATATATTCACCACTTGTTTAATTGACCATAATATTATTAAATGGTTGCAGTGTTTATAAGTTACGACAGAAAATCTGGTAATGAGTGACTAACAAAAAAAGAGAAAATTAAAGGTTAAATAAAAACACACCCACTGCGTTTAGAGTCAATTAACATAAACAACAAAAACTGCCTGACTTCATAATACAAATGAAATAACATGATATTAGCTGATTCAATCAGTGAATAAATAACTGTGACTGTGAACGTCTCCGTGCCCGAGAGGAGGGACAGGATTTGTTTTTCTGCAGACAGGCAGAGCTTCCAGCGTGGCTCAGAGCCACTGGTAAGGTCTCTGCGGACCTTATTAGCCAGGACAGGAAAGAGCAGCATGTCGGCTGCACAGGCCACTGAGAACATACTCACATCCACATGAAGCTGACAAGGCACAGTGTCACAGCTATTACACTGGCACAGCATAAGGGACAAGAAGTCAGGGGGTTAAGATGTGTGCTCACATTCACATAAATGTTTCTTCCATGTTTCTTCTTGTGTTTGCAGCTGCACTGGTTCATGTGAAATGAAGAAGTGAGTGTAGATTTAATGTGTAAGGACGTGAGAAACTCGCCTTGAATACGAACGTCTCGTTGAAGACGGGGTTCAGGGTCTTCTTGTGCACTTTGGTGTCAAACTTCTTCTTCTTGTCAGGGAAGAGCAGGACTCGGACATAAGGATCTGAAGTTCCTCCCGAGTCCATGGACAAGAGGTCTGCAGCTTGGAGGATGCCGACCGTGACCTGCATGCAGAGGAGAGAACGGGATATGGAGTATAGGGAAGCGTCAAAGGCGTTAATTTGACCAGACTTCTTTACTTTCATCTCTAGTCTCTGCTCTGTTTTTAAAGAATTTAGGAATTTAATTATTTCCTAATGTCATATCTACCTCTGTGCCCAAATGCTGCTGAGACCATTACAGTTGTATTTTCTGTTTTTCCGTACCTGTTGCAAAGCTAATCCTCTTAGTTTAATTCAGTCTCTCTGTGAAAAAGGATCATTGTCTTGCTCTGCTGGGGTTTGACAAAGCAGCTGTTTGTACTGTTGCCAGGATCAGCTCTTACAGGAATAGGGTGACATTTTGGGAAACACAGCGATTTGCTTTTTTTTGCTGTTAGACGGGAGGATCAATAAAGCTCTAATGTCTGTCTGTTAAATATAACGCTAGAGCCAGCAGGCGGCTAGCTTAGCTTAGCATACAGACTGGAAACGGGGAAACACAGAGCTGAAGAAGAAAACACCATCTGTTCACCTTCTGATGTTATAGTTATCCTGATAAAGCAATTTTTACGATAACATTTATGCAACACTATAAAATATGTAGTAATCTCATATTTTCAACTCACAAAAGTGCCAACTACGCCTCTTTAAATGTCTATAGTTCTTTTAAAGAGTTGACATGTGACAACCACAGACCTTTGTGTTCTCAAAGTCATAATCTATAGAGTACTGCAGCTTCCCCAGTTTCTCTTGTTCTTTCTCCTCTTCCTCTTTCTCCTCCTCGGTCAATCCGGTCTCTCCCTCGTCATCGTCATCATCCTGGTGTTTCTGTGGTTTGAACGTAGAAAAACAAGACCCAATGTTAAAGGTCAGGGACTCAGGAGTCAATGCAGGGCTTCCTATAGCAGCCAGCATGCCACAGACACTGGAAGTCCAGGAGTTTTTGTTTTTACATGGGAGATACATGTTTTGGTCACTGCTTACCTGCACAGCACCTGATGATAATAACATTTACAAGGGGAGAAATGGCTACTGGTAACACATAAAGACATGTTTATACACAGGGATAATTGTGCACACCTCTGTCTTCAGCATTTTTTGGATCACTGGGCATTTCCTTTGACATGCTTGTGCAGTTCGGTGACAGCCAGAGTCAGTGGAGGCATTGCATGCTAGTTCCACTAAGAGGGGGTTTTCCATGATATCTGAAATTAGCATCACTCGCTTGTTTGTCAAACGGCTCATTTTCAAGGGCTTTGACTTCACCAAATGAACAAGGCGATGAATGTTTGTCTAAAAACCCCTAAGGAACCAGCTCACAACAGCAAATGCCAATGCATATTGAATGGTAAATATAATATTCAGGCAAAGGAGATGACTTTGGAATAACTTTTAGCTGGATTGAAATTTGCTGTTTTATTACACCTACCCTCATTATTTTCACATTTCAGGAATATAATCCTGAACTTTTTTAATCTGCATGCCTTGTTTCACCTCTAAATTTATGTGGCACCAAAGAAATGTCTTTTCAGCTCAACATCATTACAATAAATGTCAGATCAGGATCAAAGGGCACAGCCAGCTATTTGAATAATGTCGAGTCTTATTGTTGTTTCACTCTTCTTCCTGCAGTTCAGTAAAAGCGTCACTGCCGAGGCGACCTTGACTATTAAGTGTTTTTCCTCTTTTTTTTCAGGCCATCCAGTGTCTCCACGTTCTGCCTCCTTCTTGAGTTCTACAGTCAAAGGGACAGATTTTTTTTGCTTTTCATGCAGTTTTATCATCGTTTCCATGTCTCCCAAACAACCAACCATGCCCTTTATCACATGCACAGATTAATAGTGTTAAAAGTGTCTTGCATATCATCTCTTAGTCCAATACTTTCCATATTGGCGTGAGTTACAGTTACATTGTCCCAGGAACAATGTGTTAGACAGTTAGACTCTCCTCTTTGGGGTTTATGGAGCACATCATAGCTTTCCATTGTTACATTCTCAAGCTGTCTCAATTCAAAAAAGTGAAAATCAGGAGGGAGTCAAAATAAAATAAAAAAGCACAGGAAGCTACGACTTTCATTCCATGAAACCCGCCTCCGCCCCGGGGGAGGGGCCAGAGAGCGTCAACGTGAGCTATCCACCTACCGTAGAGCGGGAGTCCACCACAGTCAAGAAACACGAGGCACACACAAGACAGACACAAAGCGGAAAAAGAAAGGAGGAGAGCAGAGAAAGGAAGAGATTCAACTCACAAGACACCAAACACACTACAAAAAGAGAGGCAGTCAACAACACCACCAACACAGCTATGATGAGAAATGACACCCGAATCTTCAGCTTGTTTTCACAAGTTGTCGATCGTCTTAATTAACTGTCACCGGAGCATGAGGCAATCTGTAGTGTTGTCAGACCTCAAATGAATAATTGGATTTTCTATTGTTTATTCATTTCCCAACATTTTCTGCACTTTGCTTCCAAAACTTTTCAACATTGTTGCTGGTCTCATGCATTCATCAGCTGTGAAATGCAACATTTTATGCTTGGCTACTGGTCAAATGAAACTTTCCACCTCAGGGTTCTCATTATTCTTTGCCCCCGCATAACAAAGCGTGTCATTTTTCACCACGGGCCACAATGGAATACATCACACAATTAAACGACCACAACAACATCAAGTAGGGGAAGAGAGCTCTCCTTGTGTCCTCTACAGCCTGGCCTAAAAGAGCTGCTGGTGAAAGATCAAATTTGGTTAATGAATATGAAACTCATCAATAAGTGTCATAAACGATAATAAACATTTGAGTAGATAATTGAAGGTGGAAGAGAAGAGGCAAAGCATCATCCAATCATCATCGTGTTGCGCTGACTTTTCTGCACGAGGCGTCATACCTCGCCATCCTGCATGTTCTTCATGTTGAAGCCATCCTTGCCCTTCTTCCCTTTCTTGTTCTTCTTCTTCTTGCAGCAGCATTTTTTGATTATGCAGAAGCAGCAGGTGAGGATGAGCAATGCGGCCACAACAGCGATGGCAATCAGAGCCCACGGAGGCACTGCCGGTGTCAGAACAACAGAGGGACAGTTTCAGTTGAATGGTATCTATGGTATTTCTCTTCCAAAAAACACTGCTTTGAATCTGAAAGGGAATTGTGAAGTTAAGGCAAGATTGCTTACGTGGGATTTTATCAATTTCATTCAAGAATTTACTCTTGATTTCCTCAAACATGTCATTCTTGTTGATCTCTGTGTTGTTGGAGCCAGACATGTCCAGAGCGGTGGTGGAGATAACAGCCGGACTGGGGGCCATGGTCACGGTGGTGGTGGCACCAGTGGGCTCTGCGGCCGCCACGGCCTGTGGCTGTCTGAACAAGTTAAACTTCATTGTCAAAGACTAGGTGCAGCGTCCCTGAGACACAGAGATGAGACAGACAGAGAAGGAGAGTGAAAGTCACCACACAGTCTCAACAACAGTTTGTTATGGTTTAGTTTGTAGAAGAAAACCAAAATCAAGAGAAGACTGGAATTACGATAGGTTACGATAAATGCAATATAATTAGATACAAGATATAAGATACAATGCAATACATTACGTTACGATATTACTATACATTCTGACACAATACAATCAGATTAGATTAGAATACAATAGATGCGATACAATACAATACGTTCTGATATGACACAATAAGATTAGATACTTAACTAAACATTAAGGGGAAACTGAATCTCCTCTGGACAGGCAAGAGAAAATCATACATGTCTCACCACAGTACCAAGTAAGTAAGGTACCCATCAAGGTCCACATATTCATCTGTACCAGCATTAAGATCCATTGTACTTTTCATCAATTTTACAGATGATTTAAACTAAATGACTAGTTTATCAACTGATTAAGGGAAAGGAACGATGTAAACTCCAGTTCCAGCCCAACATAAATGCTTTTGATGTAAACCTGCAGCTTTTAAACCATGGATGAAAAACCTTGCTGAGAAAAAAAGACATCTGAATACCAACAACTCGGCAAACTCAAACTAACAATGAAGATCACGTAAAGCTCCAGAACACAAACTAAATGGTTCTTGTGGTGAAATTGTTGTCTCAGCTGTTCACATTCACTCTTAATACATCATAGCTCCTTCAGTTAGACACTAATAGATAAGAATGATACACACTCAGCCACATGCAAAGTCATCAGTCAAGTAAATGAGCGCAGATCAACTCAACTGAGAAAATCTTACAGGACATAAAACCCTAAAGAGACCAAACACATCCACTATGCAGATGATGTGTTAATTTACTGGTAGAGACCTGGAGAGAATTAAAGATCTTCCTTTTGAAAGAGGCTGATTGCAATTCAACTGTTAAAGGTAAAGTTTGAACTTTTGGGAAACATAACATAACTCCCTCTCTTGCAGACGGTTAGCTGTTAGCTTAGCTTAGTCTGGAAAAAGATTAGCCCCTCCAAAGCATAATCAAATGCACATGTGATGGTTACCAGTAATTTTTTACCCTAGTTTTTTTCCCCCGATAAATCAAACTAAACAGATTTAACCTGATTATTATCGAGCTTAAGATGTTCTGGTTGGAAAATGTTTCTTTTGGACTTAAAGCGAAGTTAAATGGTGCCTAGCTATAGCTCCATATTTGACATATTGACATGATAGAGGTAAGATTTTCTTATCAAACTCTCAGCGAGAAGGAACAACTGTCAAACTTTTCCAGTCAATGTGCAGGTAACATATTCTCCCTTAACTTGGATATAAAACACATATTTTATAGCTGTTGGGAAAACAAATCATTAATTTTACTAAACATATTTAACTACCTGAAGCTGAAAATTTGGTTGGTTGACTGACTAGACATAATCAATTTGTCTTTTATGCAGTTTTTGCCATCTTAGCAGTTGTAAGGATAAGTTGTTTGTGTCTTATTTCTTGTTTCGATTTAAAGTGAATGTTTTGGACAAAACAAAACAATTTTGAGGTTGTTACCATGCGCTTTATAGGAAACTGGAATGCTCCTCTACCTTCGCGATAGTTGATCATTTTATAGCCCAGACAGTTAAGTAATTAGTGGAGAAAACAAATGGCAGGTCAATCGATAATAGAAATACTCATTAGTTGAGGCAGAAGAGGTGGAATAAACTCAAATCCACTCAGCAATTAAAGCTGCAGTGTAAATCCATCTCACCACAAATCAGAGACCAATACAACAAGTGCTTCCTCACAACGCTCCGTATTTTTTTTATCCTTTGGAAATTTAATCCACCGCAAACGGCCGACAAAATCAATTTACCTCTCAGCCTCAAGTGAGCATTACACTTTACTCCCTGTCTGCTCTTTGCATGACAACTGGTGACACCAACACACTATTAGCATTTACTGCAGAGCGCAGCGAGTGTCATTACTCTGGTCCAAATAAAGCCTGCTTCTTTTTTTCTTGACTCTTAAAATATAAAAAAATCATATGCTGCTGATAACTGGAAGCACTTGACAACTGCAAATCAATTTACTTTGGATTAAATTAGAATCATTATATTTTGGTTCACAGGGAGAGAATTATTTTCCACTAGTGCTCAGTTATTCTATTACTGTGAAAAAAGAAAGTCATGGGGATTTCAAAGCACAATTAATCTGTTTTAAGTCTATGAACAAGACTATTTTTATAGCAGCGTGATGCATTTCTGGGAAGTTCTAGTCTGACTGAACATTGTGATTGACTGTCATGCCTCCCCCCCACATGCATACAAGTGTTTGTGTGTGTGTGTGTGTGTGTGTG